TCAGCAGGTAGGATGACAGCTAGTGAGGAGCTGTGATTGCAACTTGGGGGAACACAACTTTGTTGCCTTGAATCTAGTAAGGGAAGATGCCCTGGGCTGTGCTGGAGTCCGTGCCATCATTGTCTTCACTGAAACTGGGACTCAAGCTTGGGGGAGTATGTTTAGCCATCTTCAGTCACCCATCCCAGCTGCAATGTAGCCAAACTTGTACTTAAGTGCATACAAATTGTAAGCATGGGCTCAAACCCCATTGGCTTCTAGTCAGATGTACCCTCATGTGCTTTCCTGAAATGCAGTCCACACAGCAACTCAATATTGTGCTAGGATGCTGGACATGGACCTTTTGCTGGAAATCAGGCACTCCCTTGGCTTCTCTTCTAGGGCAGAGCAAATCCCCTGCAGGGTAGCCACAAAAAAGTGACCTGAATAAACGAGGGTTTAGGGCAAGACCTGTAAATTAGCTTGAGCTGAAAGGAGACCTAGCCCCGGTGAGACCTTTATTGTCGGGAGGATGAATTAAAGTTGATGATCCAGCAGAAGTAACAATATCAGCAGAACTGGTTGTTATACAGCTGACTATTAATGTTGCTGTTTAATGAGCCATTTTAACTGTTCCCTTTACGGACCAGTGATTTTCATATTGTTACCTTTCAAAAGGCAAAGCCACAGATGGTCTGGATGGCAGGCTGTGCTTCGCTTTCACTGGGCCCAGTTTTATGGAGGGAGAGCAGGGAACCACTTTCCCTTGGTCCAGCCTCCTTTATACAAACAGGGACCCTAAACGGTGCCATCCACACAGATGCACAAAAATACTGCAGTGCTCTATGATCAGATTGTGGCCTTGTTGTGGCCTCGTTGCCAGGCTAAACCGTAGCATCTGCAGCACTAGGAATTTTACCAGGGTCCAGAAAACAAAATGGGATGGATGAAATGACTAAAGCCAAGGTCTGTAGCCCACAGACTCAGCCCTCTTCAAAGAACACAGAGAGACCCAAACAGCAGGATGGTGCTGAGCTGCTCAGCTGAATTCCCACCCATTCCCACGGGTCTCTCCCGAACACAGATG